CAACAGCCTACTGTAACACTAAAGTCAACAGCCTACTGTAACACTAAAGTCAACAGCCTACTGTAACACTAAAGTTAACAGCCTACTGTAACACTAAGGTTAACAGCCTACTGTAACACTAAAGTGAACAGTCTACTGTAACACTAAAGTCAACAGCCTACTGTAACGCTAAAGTTAACAGCCTACTCTAACACTAAAGTTAACACTGTATTAAAAAGTTAAGCAGTTTGTGTGGAAAAATGTAAATAACCTAACGCAAATAGAAAGTTGAACAGCTGTTTAGAAACAAGCAGTTTTTAGGTGTAAATTTCAGGTCAGGTTTGTTGCTTCCTCTAACATTCCAACATATCGTGTTGTCAGTGATGTGTTTGTGTGTGATGGATACACAACATGTTTTTGTCACCTGAAAAGGACACTGTGAGCTCAAACCTTTGTTTAACACATCTGAAGGAGTTAATTGGCTGTTTTGCCAGCAGCGATGTTCTGAGTGAAGCCTCTGAACTCTTTTAACGGCTGCTCGTTAAAACAGTTCAGAGGCTTCAGTCAGAGGTGTGTGCCTGTTGTCCCACACAAACACACCGTATGAAACATCGGAAAGGCCCGTCACAACCAGCGTGTTGACACAACACAATGAAACTCAGCTGGAAACCTTCATTTTCATGTTGAAGTGTTTCCTTCAGGTTCATGTCAGGTGCACTGATTAGCAAACAATTGTTTAGGCCCAAAGACTTAATTAAACCAATTTAACTTGTTCTCACTGCAGCCATGTTGGTTTCTACACTGCAAAAACTGTCCCTCTAACCAAGTTTTAAACCTTATATCAGCCAAAAAGTCTTTTTGATCTTGTTTTCAGACTGATTTACTAAACAAGAACTGATTGTGTAAGAATAATCATCTTGTTTTCACAATGTGTAAGATTATTTGTCTTGTTAGTCTGAAAATTTGACTCTAAGTCAAACATTTCTGCCAGTGGAGTAAGAACATTTTACTTGGTAATATTCTTGAAATAAGAAAAAATTGAGTCAAATCAAGTATTTCAAGAATCTTACCAAGTAAAATGTTCTTACTCCACTGGCA